CCCAACATTAATAGCATTAAATCACAAGTGCAGCTTTCTCCCTTTCCGAATCTCTTCCAGCTCCTATAGCAGCAGCACCCTGTGCGTGGATGACACTTGCTGTGGCCACTCTGCTGCGAGCCAGCATGAGCATCAGCACAGGAGCCTATGGTCTTCTTTCACTCTGTTTTACATTTACTATCTTTTATGGTCAACACACTTTAGGGCTCTAGCAAGCTTTTCTTTATAAATGGATTTATTTGAATGAAAGCGGTTTAATTTAAAGAAAGATTATCATGTGCAAATATGCTAGCCAATAATAAGCCAGAACTTGATGCCAAGTTTGAGAAAAGATGGCTGAACCCCTTGTTACTATGGTGGCCTTGCTCAAGATTCAAGTTGACTGAAAATGTTAACAAGTAGATCAGCCTAACTCGTCTAAGGCAGAATCACTTTGACGGCTGACTTTTGAGCAGCGATTCTAAATGTGGTACCTGTCCAAACTGAATTAGCACGGCTCATCTATTTCCTGAAAGATACCCGTGTTTGCATAATTGAGAGAGAAACGAAGGCCTTCTTTATAGCCAACACAGTGATACAGCAGCACAGAGCAGTGTCACCTGCACTCTAGGGGAATCACTGGGAGGCCCACTCAGTATACACCCCAAAGGCACCCCCACAAGTCATTCCCTAACCTTACCCTGTCCCCACCTCTTCAGATCCAGAACAAACACAGGTAAACAGGACCACACGGTTTATTCTCTCCAGTGGCACAAGACCAACAAATGTATCAAATAACTGATCAACTAAGGTGCCCACCTTCTAAAGAATGGTGCTTACAGGTATAGGGAACATCACCATCCCAGCCCCCCCGTCATACTTAAAAGGTTTACAACTGGGCCTGGTGGCACACACCTGCAATCCCAGAAACTCAGGAAGATGACACAGAAGGATCGCAAGTTCAAGGCCAGCTTCAGCATCTTAAGACACTGCCTTGACTTTTTTTTAAAAAAGGAAGGAGGTATGGGGATGTAGCTCAGTGATAAAGTGTTCCTGGGTTCAATCCCTAGTACTGCCAAAAAAAAAAAAAAAGTTCTAGAGGTATTAATGTGACATTTCCTGAATGTACGACAAGGACTTAAAAATTAGTTTAAAAAAGCAGGGGCCTCCTTTCATCGTTAGATTTGACAAATCTAAGCGACAATCTGTCATAGTGTGTATCACTATGCCAGTCCTGGGAGTACACAGCAACAGCTCCACCAGAGTGGACCATATCTGCTGTGCAAGCAATGAATTCTGGCCAGCTTGTGGGTCTGCACTGCCAACTCATGGGCTCTAACCCTGTAGATTCCGATGTGGTGATCTGAGTGGGCCTGGGGCTTCTGCCACTTAGAAAGCTCCCTGGATTCAGATGTGCAGCAGGCTTCAGGTCTACTGCCTCAATTATATTTTAAAATCTGAAATTAGCAGTAAGAAGCATCTTGCTTTTAAAAACACTGAGTAACTGAGGGCATGTTGGACGAGTATTGCAAAACACTAAAACACTGAGAAAACAGTATCACTGTGTAGTTCTAAGAAAGCAAGCAATCTATATAAAAGCAATCAGACTATGAGACCTGAAGATGCCAAAATGACACTACAATCACTCGCCATCACTGCAAGTGGAAATCCTGGTTAATCATTACTTCCCCCAAAGCATATGACCTCTTACTCCTCTGGATAGTAAGTCGCTCACTAATTCACAATAATTTTACCACTAACGTTAAGTGATTTACACACGTCTTGCTTTCACACTAGTGTCCATTCCTGTACTGGCAGCAGTGGTTTTAAAGGAACTGCCCGTTGAACTTTGTAACAACTGCTCATTTGTTCTTAAAAGTCACAAATGAATACCAGTGACAGGTGAAAGCTGCCCCCACATGTTCACCAATTTCATCCAAAAAGAGAAAAATTACATTCCCTCCCTTAGCAGGTACTAGTTCTTCCTAATACAGTCAGTCCACAACTTATAATAGTTCAACTTAGCCATTTTTTGACTTTACAATGGTATAAAAGCCATCTGGCATTCAGTGGAAACTGTACTTTAAATTTTAACCATTTCCAGTTTTTCCAGGTCATACAATTATCTCTTGTGATACTCGGGGGCAACAGCAGTGAGCAGCAACACCAGGGACCAACCACACTTGGCAGGTGGTGCTGCTGAGCCAAGGTGTTCAGGAGGTTAGATGGACTGAATGCATTTGTAACTCAGGATACTTTCAACTCACCATGGGTTTATTAGGACGTAACTCCTAGGTCAGGGAGGATTGGTACTCTGACAAACAAGCTACGATGGCCACTCAGAAAGATTCTGAATTTGAAAAACACTTCTTTTTTTGTTATTAACTGTAAAAAGAGAATGCAAGAACTGCCCTTCTGAAATTTCAACAAAAAGAAAGGTTCCTTAAAATACTCTTTCCTTTGTAACCCCTGTCCTCAAGACAGAAGATACAGTGGTTGAACTGTGAGCGTCACTCCAAGGCCAGCACATGGGGCTCCCTCCACTTCATGCAGTTGTTCCCAGGCCCCTGACAACAAATTCTTGTGATCTCACCAGCTTTCCCCTCCACTGCTGCCTCAAAGATGACACCCCTTCCACATTCCCCAGCAGGCACTCAGGTACCAGGCCTCACCTTCCTGCCAGAAACTCCTCTTCCATCTCTGATATTTCCCCTGCCCCTGGAAGGACTCTGCCCCTTCTTTCCCCAGTGGCTTTGTCAGGCACCCTATGCTGGGGACTGGGTAGACATAGGATCTTAAGACAGATTTTCTCACTCACACACTATCATTCTAATAATGAGACAAGAGGAAGATTTTTTAAAACCCCATAAAGATGTACTGTCACCACTGAGTGAGGTTCTCCTTGAAGAAACATCCAAGAGGGCCTGTTTCTGCCTAAGAAAGCCCTAGAAAAAGTAAGCCCTTCCTCTGGCTCTTCCTTCTAATCTGCTCAACTTCTCAATTCTCTGAAGCATTACTAACTCACAGCTCTCTGGTTCTAAAAATGTGCAATAGGTCTCCACCAGCACACACCAAGGGCAGGGGACTCTGTGGGCAGTGAGGCCCTGTGAGCCAGTCCCAGCCTGACTTTGCACAGGGCTCATTCACACGTGCGTACATCAGTTCTGACCAATGGCGGCTCTTGTGCAGCACATTCCAGGCTGCCTGGAATTTCCTGCCTCTGAGCTTACTCACATCACCCTGTTGTCAGCCTTGGGCCAAATACGGCGTTCAGTGCACAAACTGTGCAGCCGTATGTGGCAGTCCTCTCTATTCCCATCCAAACACGTCTCATTAAGGGGACGACAGGTTATTTTAAAACAATATTTTCTGCATTTTCCACAATGGATATGTATTCCAAGTTTAAAAATTGAGAAAAAAATTACATGGGGAGAAACAACCCACTCTACTTCTCAAACCCTAACATGAAGGTTACTTTCTCTAAGGAGTCCTCCCCGAGTTACTATCTAAGACCATCTGTGTCCCTCCTTACTCTGAAGGCTGTGACTGTGTTATGATATTAGACACACACTACCTGCATCCATCCACAGCTGTGTCTTCAACCACCTGGCTCTCGCCCTCCCTCTTTTATCAGTCATACCCTAGGCCTGGGTTCACCTAGGTTATTTCATTTAATTCCCCCCAATGAGGTGGGTATCACCCTCCCCATACTATGAGAAAGGACTCCAAGGCAGGATGACTTGCTCAAGCAAAGTAATAACATATTGCTTTGGGGGGTTTGAATTTATTCATTTTATTTATTTTGAGAGTGAGAAGAGACAGATCCCTCAGGGTAAGAGGGGACCCAAAAAGGGTTGCCCTGTAGGTTTAAGTTTAAATCTAGGATATTCCAGCTTCAAAATCCTTAACTCCAAAGTACCTGCCAAATGACTAGCAGCCTTTCAGTTGCTAGCCTGAGTCATTAGCAGAGAGAGTTTCTTACTAATTTTTTATCTCACTTTGGTGATTACCACAGGACCTCACCCAGAAGCAAGAACTCAGAACCTTTTTATGATTAAATATAAGATATACTCCTTGGGAAAAAATGTTGGAATGTTGATTATGATGGTGTGAATCATAAAGCAACAGTAGTCCCTAAAAGTTCTGGCTTTAAGAACATCTCCAAGCTCCACAGTCTCCCCAGCTCTACTGCCAACTTGAGTCTCAGCCTAGTGCTACCTCTTGCCTCTGAACTACTCTCCAGCAAATCACCCAGTGAGATGGGACTGTGTCACTCCCTTACACAAACCAACGCCCCACACCGCTTCTTACCTTGGCCTGAGAGTTAGCAGGTTCTTGCCTCTAACTCTGGATTCCTCTAGCTCCCACCTTTCTCTCTTCACTAACCCTTCAGCCACAGTGGCCGCCTCAGGACTGTGAGCTGGCTGTTCCCTCTGCATCAAATGCTCTTGTTCTAGAAGGCTGCCGGGGTTGCTCCTTTTTATCACTTAGGACTCAACTCCAGTTTGATTCCTAAGATGCTTCAGTTAAACTCTAATCTTAGAACTCACTGTTTTCTGTTTTCGAGCTTGCATTTATACTGGTAAGAGCAATGAGGAAACAACTCACAAGTATTTTAAAAATGTCTACTTAACTATTGAACTTGGAAATTTCGAAATCACATTTCAAGAAAGGCCCATGCCTTTATACTGTGTGTGTGTGTGTGTGTGTTTAACTTTAAAATCTACCAAATTCATAACCAGAGACTCAAGAAGGAAACATAGGTGTGGTATTTCAAGAGACAACTTATAAAATACACTTTCCCTAATTTCAGTTAAAAAAAAAAAAAAAAACAGAAAATCACTAGCAGATCACTTTCAATAAAAATCAGAAAACACTCAACATCTGATAGGTATTAACCCTCTCTATGAATTCGACAGTCTACTTCCTGTGAAAGGAGGGATGTTATGTGCCATGACTGGCCTGCAGTCTAACCCCACTTTTCCCATTAAAAAGTAATTTTCAAATAGTTAACCACTTACCATAATGTGATTGAAATGCCTGTGGTTTGACAACCTGATTGCAGTCGTTACACACCACCAAGTAGAAATCATCATGGGCTGGACAAAGACCAAATATTGGCATGTCTGCAACAAAGGAACAGAGTGTCACTTACTCATCTGGTTATGACTTCTGTAAAGCCACATGGAGGAATGCTACTCTCCAAAGGAGTCACCTTCTCATCAGTGTTCTCTGACAACTGCACTCCAGCTTAAAAGGAACAGACTTTTTACAGAGGGTTAATATAACATGCACCAAAAATTGTGAGGAGTAATAAAACAAATCTATTAAAATGCAAACAACACATTCATATAATAAAGCAATGTTAAATGAACTCTTTCAAGAGTTGTGTAAGAATCTGAAATCATATAAAATGCTCAGTAATCCTCAAAGCTGTACAATCTGATAGTTTTATTTGTTTAACTATGATTGTTTCCAGTCAGCTGGTCCCCAAGTCCTATGGATAAGTTAAGAAGGGGAACAGAGATGTCACCGAAGAGGAAAATTGCTGGCTTCACTAGCATGAATATATATATGTATATAATTCAGACATATATTTTGTATTTATTTCTATATCATATTTATAGATATTGTATACAGGTATGTTTTATATTAAATATATATCTAAATAAATAAAGAAATATTTCCCCCCAGGTCACAATCACCTCTAGTCCATTTATTTATACACTGATGCCACCAAACAGAGCTTCGGCACAAACACAGCATTTCACATTATTACTTATAGTTGGTTACCAACCAGAATCAAGCAGGAGATAGTTTTTAACAATAATGTCAACTTGACAATAATAAGCTAACCTATCTGCATAAGCATAAAGATTAAAAGTAACTTTATTCATTGTAAATATGGTTAAATTAAAAGTCCCTACCATGAAGAATGGTTCATGTTATTCACAGAACAATGATCTAGGGAACAGAGCTTAAAGTTCAGATGGAGAACCTAAACTTTTTAAAGATTTCAACATCAGTGATTCTAAACAAGTATTTTACACTACATGTACTATTTAGAATATTTGCTATAAACGAATAGGTGGCACATTTCAATTCAGCAAATGTTTAAAAGACCCCAAAAGCTGATGAGCATCTGCTTTTTTAAAAAAAAATTTAATTTCACTTTCTCCAGTGTGGGTTATACTGGTGGTTTTTATAGGGAGAAGAAAATGCCCTAAGATACTAAATGATGATATTTTCTAAAATAGTAAATGACAGATCTGACAGTCACATGTGGCTGCATCTCAGATTTTTTTAAATAGTTCTATTACACTGAGTTGCAGATGGCTTGCTATGAATCCGAAACCAACATGGTCCAGCATGATTCTGGGATGCAAATGCAGCACCGACCCATTTCTATGTGTTGCTCTTTCATTTGATACTCACAGCTACTTAAGTAGGTACCATTATAACTATTCTACTGAAGAAGAAACTGCCTCAGGAAGGTGAAGCACTTTGTCTAAGGTCAACAGCTGGGATTTGAGATGGCTGGGTTCTGGGCCCTCTTGAAGAAAAAAACCCTGATTTCTAAACATTTCATCCAGATTCCAACTCCAATAAATTGGACTATCAAGGCTAAACACCTCTGATTACATAAGCAGGTCAGACAACTGAAGAAGCTTCCAGTAGAATGCTAACTTCTGTAGCTAAGCTTAATTATTTAACAAAAAAGTTTGGAGCCAAACAACATGCTGTTTTCCTTGAAATCATGCACACACTGAGTTGGTAAAGACCGTGCACGTGGAGGAGGAGAAAGGTTCTGTGTGTACTGGTATACACACAGTAAGCCATTTTCCACGGCTACTGTTTCTGACATGACATTTCATTCTCAACAGTAAAATTTAAGGTAGTTTACCCTAAGCTCCAAGATATCCTTGTGCTTACTATCTTTGATAGGCCTATTAATAAGGAAAATCCAAATTACTAAAGTGGTATAAAATTCACAATTTATAGTTGAAAAATATGAGAAATCTATAATTATCAAATCAAATTAATAAGTTTTATTAATTAAACAGTAATTACAGCAGCCTTAAATACATAGTCTTCATTTAGTTTTTGTCCTGATATAGTTTGTGTAGTTTCTTACATTGCTTACAAGGAATGCTATTTAAAAATGTATCACTTTGCCAGACACTAGACATTTCTGGGGACCCATTTAAAAATAAGGCAGTTTGATAAATACCAAGATATAGAGATCCTTTCAAGTAGCAAGGATTCACGTTTGCCACAAGGAAGAAGGTTCCCTTTCTATCTTGGTTTCTTTGATCTTTTTGTATGTGTGACAGAGTTAGTAAAACTAAGAAGGCGGGGTCATTCTGGAAGGGACCAAGAACCTATACTTCTGTAAAAATTTCAATTTCCTCAATAACTTAAGATCAACAGACAACTGATACGATGGCCATGACAGTTGACTACTGTGTGCCAGGTCCTGGGCTAAGCACTTTATATATGGGTTTGTCCCATCTCAAAGTTGATTTATTATTATTATGGACACATATTAATTGTACAGATGATGGGATTCACTGTGATTACTTCCGTACATGCACACATGTGCACTGATCATTTCCATCTACCCTCGTCCCCTCCCCATCTTCATATCCTGATCCCATTACTTATTTTTAACAATAAGCTTACAATATAATCCTCATTCTACTTATAAAGAAATAAACTTGTCTAATATCACCCAGCAAGAAAGCAGCATGACCAGGACTCAAGCTCTGCGCGACCTGTAAGTTCTCTTAGTCTCTCGTTAGCACACAGCATCTTCCTAATGAGCACGTGTGCCATGTGCCACCACCCCTCAAAGGAAAGAAACGTATACACAAGCCCAGTTCATCCTACCCCGTGAACTGAGTTCCTATTATAAAAATCTTAAGCAATTATAATTTCAGCTTTCTGAATTTTTTACTACACATACCCATATTTGGAAGCAAAGCGTGTACAAGATAATTTAAATAAAATTTCTTCAGGGAAAACAAACAAACAAACAAAATGTTCTATATCCTTTTTCTGTATTGGGACATTCCAGAGGCCTTAGCAACAGGAACAGAGTGAGGAATGTTGTGGCAACAGAAAGAAATGAAATAATTTGTATGAAAGGCCATAGATATGTTTCTGAATACTTCTCAAGCATAAATTCGTAATCAGGCCACCCACAAATTAACATACAGCTCTTATCCAAATGCAAAGAAAAATTTGATTTACAACAGAAAAAAAAATACGGAGTTAATAAAAATGAAATTCTTATTGAATTTAAAAGTTTACAAAATATGCTTTTAATATATAACTACAACCATCAATTCTGTACTTAAAAATATGAAGAGTTTTAATACTGTATTTGAGTTCATGGATTCTGAAGCTAATTTAAAGAATGGATTTTGCTCTTGTGTAAGGCCTGGCCCTTTCTCGAGATCTGGGTCACCACTACCTTCTAATAAGTGAGTGAGTGAGTGGCCCCACATCTATGCCTTGGGTACTTTAGGGACCCAAGGCCAGCATTCAGGGAAGGACTGGATTTAAGCACACAGACCAGTGAGCACATGCGTACAGAAACACCACAGTCCCCTGCAGAATGAAGGCCCTGGGCTGGAGACAGGATCTCCACTGCAGCAAGGGTGTTAATACAACTTTGACCTTTACTTCCAAATGGGAGACTGTGTTCAACAACAACCCAACTTGAATGTTGTTGCAAAGCATTTAACCTTTGCAGTATCCTGAGTGTCTCCCTTCTCCCACACATCCCCAACTTCTACATACCAATGACTCCTACGTTGCTATCTTCAGCCCAGACTACTCCCAAGCTCTGTCTACATTCAAGTAGCCAACTGCCTACTAGACACTGCCATCTGGACGTCTCATATACACATCTCAAATGGAACAAGCATGTCCAAGAGACTTCACGTGGGCCCTGCCCCACTTCTTGTTTCTAATAAGCTTTCCTCTCTTGGGTAAATACTATTAGCCTCTCAATGGCCAAAACTAAAAATCCTGGTATCATCTCTAACTCTCTGTCCCTCATCACATCCAGGCTACCAGCAAATCCAGTTAGCTCCATTTCAAAACCTCTGCCCACTTCTTTCCATTGCTACAGCTACCTGGAGGGCACTAGACTATGGAAGAAATCTCCCAAGTGGTCTTCAATCCCCTCCACGAGGCCACCAGTATGATTCTTTAAAATCCTCTACCAAATCATGTCACTGCCCTGTTTAAAAGTCTCTGATAGCTTCTTCAATGGCTTTTTTTTTTTTTTTGGTACCAGCGATTCAACCCTGGGACACTTAACCACTGAGCCACATCCTCAGCCCTTTTTAAAATATTTTATTTAGAGAAAGGGTCTCACTAAATTGCTGAGGCTGGCTTTGAACTCACAATCCTCCTGCCTCAGCCTCCTGAGCCGCTGGGATGATAGGTGCGTACCACTGCACCCCGACTCCAGTGGCTTTTTATGAACAAACCTCAGCCCTTAGAACAGCCCCCAGCATGCATTCACTTCTCTCAGCCTGTCTTGTTCTCTGCTCGGTTCACTCTGCTTTGGGTACACTGACCTCCGTTCTCCCTGCAGACCCAGAAATCTCATTCCCAACCAGGCTCTGCCATCATTTTAAATGAGATGCCTGGCACATTCTCAACTCAGGTCTCAGCTCAGCGGTCCCCTCTTCAAAGGCTTGCTCCCTGCTGCTCCCCAGTCGGTCATCCTGTATTGCTGGTATTTTAAGCAGTGTGGTTGCATGTGGTCCACCCTCTATCACCCTGTATCCCCTGGTTCCCTCATTCAAGACACATGTGACCTTGGCAAGTTCTATAACCTCCGTGGACTTGTGTTTCTTCATTTGTCAAAAGTGATGGTCACAGTGCCTCTTTTAGCAGGTACTCCACAAGGCAGGGAAAGTAGAATACACACAGTCTCAGGAGGATATCTGGCTCCTGGAAGTGCCCACTGTTTCCCACAACCTGGAGACAGAAGTCACCCCCCACCCCCGACGACTGGCCAGGAAACTAAGGCATGCATTCAGCTCTCATGAGCTAGCACATGGCAAAGCCTCCACTGGAACCCAGGGGTGCTGCACTCATCAGCCCA